GATGCTTTTCTGGCCGAGGTCCGACTGTACAGTCGACCCGCAACATAAGGATGGGCAACCTTCCCAAGGGTACCCTTGCATCCTCGCCCCCTCGGCCCATCCTTGGCCGCTTTTGCTGGCCGCGCCCCGCCCGCAAAGTGTTGACATGGCCTTCAAGGCCCTTGCATCTTCACCGTGCATCCTTATGATACGGGTTGACTGCATGTCGCGTTCCACATGACAGGTCGATGGCTGTACCGTGTGAGGGAGATTTTTTGTTGATCCTCTGGCGCGTAACGGCCGTTACCCAGGTCACCCCCCCGGGTAACGGTAACGATCGTTCCTGGGTAACGATCGTTGCCCGCCTGGAGCATGTCTCTGTCTCTATGATTCGTGTCGCCTTATCTCGATGCCGATATCAAGGACTCCTTAGGTTTCTGAGGGCGCATCCCATAGATTGTCATCGCCTTTGGTTTGTCAATCTTAGGGATAGGGATAAGTCCGAGCTTGGTCTGACCGTTAGGCAGAAATAAAAAGTCCAGCTCCGAATCTGGCATCATCATCCCAGCGTCCTCCTCCTCCTCCTACACCTCCTGCTGCTTTCCCCTCTTCATCCTCTCGCGCTTCCCCCCTCCTCTCGTCCCCCCTGCACCTTGGGAAGGGGGGGGGTGTATGGCTGTGCAGCTCCACCCCGCTTCTCCCGCGTCCCCTCTTCTAGAGAGAGGAGGGACAATCAGCGTCGTTAACCGACCCCTATCACCATGCCTATCCAGACCCCCATCATCTCAGCACCCCAGTTGGGGATATATGATCCAGGGCTGCTCCCCCCCCTCCCCCCCCCCCCTAATGCATAAGGGATCAAGCCCCCCACCCTGCTGGATGGGTACGCCCGTGGGCCTCGCGAAGGCCTCGCGAATGGGATCGGTCCCCCCCCCTTGTGGTCGTGTCCCTGTGAGATAGGGGCTCCTGAAAACTTCCGGACAGTTGGGCCCCCAGGGTGGACAACTTTCGAAAGTTCTTGGTTTGAATTTTTCCCAACTTTCCAGGCCCCTGGAACGTAACATTTTCAATTGTTCTTAAAACAACCCTTCTCTTTTTTTTTCAAACAAAAAAAACAACTGTTTCCAACTTTCAGGCCTGCCCTGAAAGTTACTTTTCGGCAGCTTTTGGGAAATGGGGCGCCCCCCCCCCCCCGAAAAGTTACTTTTTCGAGTTGGCTCCTCGGGGGGGGGGGCAACTTTCGCAAATTACTTGTTCAACATGCTCTAACTTTCCAGGCCCCCGAAAAGTAACCTTTTCAACTTGTCCTGAAACAGCCTTTTTTTTTTTTTTTTTTGGTTTTTTTTTTTTTTTTTTTTTTTTTTTTTTTTTTTTTTTTTTTTTTTTTTTTTTTTTTTTTTTTTTTTTTTTTTAAAAGTTATTTAAAAAAAAATGATATAAAAAAAAAAAAAAAAAAAAAAAAAAAAAAAAAAAAACTTTTTTCAACTTTCCCCCCCTCCCCCCCCGAAAGTTACTTTTCGGTAACTTTCGGGCTCCGTGGCGCCCCCCCCGAGAGGTTACTTGTTAGTTTTTCTCCGACTTTTGACGAACGTTCTGCCTCGCCGAAAAGTAACTTTTTCAACTTCACCTGGGGCCGGGCCAACATATCTTATTCTGGAGCCCGAACGTTGTTTTTTTTCTACTTTTTTGTAACTTCTCGTGGCAGTCGACAGTAACTGTCCAGGTGGCCGACAAGTCGGTGCACGAGGCGGGCGCCCGACATTTCGTGGACGTGCGGCCTGCAAGTGGGTGTCTGCTTTGGAGCCATGCCCTCTGGCGACGTCGTGGGAAAGTCGCGAGCCCGTTTTGGAGCATGAATGGGCGCAGCCTGTCAGGGCATCCTCTGTTCAAAATCCCTCTCGCGCCATCTTGGGAACCTTTCGGGGGCACTGCAGCGGCACGATTCGCAAAGTTAATTACGGAATCCTAGTGGTCTAGCGAAGAGTGAACGCGCACAAGACGCGCACAAGCCGTCTTCGAGATCAGAGTTGCGAGGATTTCTCAGGCCAAAGTGGCCTCGGACACTGGAGTTCCGAGGATGTCTGAGGCGAAAGCGGCTAGACAACCATCGGGCAAGGCTCCGACGTCAGAGTTGCGAGGATGTCTCAAGCGAAAGTGGGCTGACCACCGCAGCTGAAGGCATCTCGGAAACCAGAGGTGCGAGGATGTCTCGAGCGAAAGTGGCCGGAGCGCAATGGGGCAGGGCGTCCCTGAGGTCAGAGTTGCGAGGATGTCTCAGGCGAAAGTGGCCCGACCACCTACGCCCAGGGCATCTCGTAACCCAGGCGAAAGCGGTCAAGCCGCCATAGGGCAAGGCATATCCGAGGTCAGAGTTGCGAGGATGTCCGCCCGGGGTCAAAACAGCCCGCTGCAATCGAGGGCTCCTAAGTGCAGCGGGTCTGCTCTCCCTCGCGGACGCTCCCGGGAGCCACAAGGGCTCGCTGCATTTAAGGGAGTTTTACATGCGGCGGATCTGCTCTCCCATGTGTGGGCCTCCCGAGAACCCTCTGAGCCCTGTGAGGCCTCTGAGCCCTATAAAGCCTATGAGCCATATGACCCCTACGAGGGCCGCCCGGGGCCAAAACAGCCCGCTGCACTTAAGGGGTTCCTAAAGGCAGCGGGTCTGCCCTCTCTCGTGGACCCTCCCAGGAGCCAAAAGGGCCCGCTGCATTGAAGGGGGTTTGAAGCGCGGCGGCTTTGTTCTCCCTTGTGTGGGCTTCCCAGGAACCCTCTGAGCCCTGTGAGCCCCATGTGCCCTATGAGCCCCATGAGGGCCGCCCATGGGCAAAACAGCCCGCTGCACTTGAGGGGTTCCTACGTGCAGCGGGTCTGCCATTCCTCGCGGTTCTCCCAGAAGCCAAAAGGGCTCGCTGCATGTCAGCGGGTTTAAAGTGCGGCGGTTTTGCTCTCACTGCTGTGGGCCTCCCAGGAACCCTCTGAGCCCTGTGCGCCCCATGAGCCCTACAAGCTCTATGAGCCCTGTGACCCCTATGAGCCCCATGAGGGCCGCCCATGGGCAAAACAGCCCGCTGCACTGAAGGGGTTCCTAAGTGCAGCGGGTCTGCTCTCCCTCGCGGAACTTCCCAGGAGCCACAAGGGCCCGCTGCATTTGAGAAAGTTTTAAGTGCGGCGGATCTGCTCTCCCTTGTGTGGGCCACCCGGGAGCCCCCTGAGCCCTGTGAGCCCTCTGAGCCCTGTGAGCCCTATGAGCCCTCTGAGCCATGTAAGCCCTATGAGCCATATGAGCCCTGTGAGCCCTTCGAGCCCTATGAGCCCTACGAGCCCTATGGATCTCACCGTCAGTCTCCCCCATCAGTGCGTGCACTGAACTGTTGTGGGAGGGGTGAATCGTGCCGCCTCCCCCCGCACCCTCCACCCCCCTGGAACCGGCGCAGGCCGGGTCGCGCGCCAGCGGATCAACTTTTCAAAGTTTTTCCAACGTTTCGCGAACTTTCAGGAATCCCCGAGAGTTACATCTCTAACCTTTTGTAACCTTTCGTCAACTTCCGGGGATTCAGAATAGTACTTTCTCCAACTTTTCCAACTTTCAAACAACTTTCCAGCGTCCGGAAAAGTTACTTTTCAATTTGCTGTGACTTGCGGGGACCAGGGGTTCGTATTTTCCTTCATTTTTTCATACTTTTCGGCATCTTTCCCGCGTGCGGAAAAGTTTACCCGCGACCCACTCGCGACCCAGCCCGCGACCCACTCGCGACCCAGCCCGCGACCCAGCCCGCGACCCCCCTTGCGACCCACCCACATTGCTTTAACGAAAATCCGCGCCAGCGGCGGGCTCACTGCATAGTTTGTGAGAGTGAGGCGCCTGCGGCGGGATTCTTCAGAGCCTCGCAGACTGCCGACGTCCTCGCCGCCCCCATCATTGTTTTCCACAGCTGCGGGGTGATACGCGCATTCTATGCAGATATGTGAAGACATGGGAAATGGAGGGGAGGACGGACATATAGACAATACCCAAACATACATATAATCGAATGTTGGGGTCTGTGTGTGTTTGTGTGTGTTTTTCAATTTGTTGTGACTTGCGAAGACTGGTGGCGAGTTAGTTTCCGGACGGCGAAAAGGTACTTTTCGGGAGCGTGAACAGTTGATCCGGCATGGACGTCGCAGAGTGCTGGAGGGCCCCCCCCACCTTTCCAGCTTGTCGTAACTGTTTGATCACTGTTGCATATCCGGGAGAGTCTTCAGGAGCCCCTAATTGGTCCCCGTGGGCGTGGCGTCATGGAGAGTGCTGACGCACGCCCCGCCATCCCCCTGTGGGTGTGGGGTGATTCGTCGTCGTCGTCTTCGTCGTCGTCGTGGTCGTCATCGTCGTCGTCGTCGTTGTCGTCGTCGTCGTCGTCCGCCATCGCCGTCGTCGTCTGCCGTCGCCGTCGCCGTCGTCGTCGTCGTCGTCGTCGTCGTCGTCGTCGTCGTTGTCGTCGTCGTGGTCGTCATCGTCGTCGTCGTCGTCGTTGTCGTCGTCGTCGTTGTCGTCGTCATCGTCCGCCGTCGCCGTGGTCGTCCGCCGACGTCGCCGTCGTCGTCGTTGCCGTCGTCATCGTCTTCGTCGTCGTCGTCGCCGGCGGGGACGGCGGCGGCGGCGGCGTCCGCGTTGGCGTTGGCGTCGGCGGGCGTCGATCTCCCCCCCCCCCTCCCATCTGGGGGGGGAGCCTGCGGAACCTTGGGACCCATCCCAACGGGGGGGGGCTGTGGGGGGGCTGTGAACCCTCGACCCGGGATCAGATACCTTTCGAAACCCGATGGGAAAAGTCTGTATCCTTGTCTAGGAGGATCAATCGGCCAGTAGGGCCCAGGTCACGCCCATGGGTATAGGGACGATACTCGGAAAACCAGAGGAGGGTAGGGGTGCTTGAGAAGAGACGATGCGGATCCTTCTAGTTGTTCGATTATTGTCCGTGTCGTCCTCCCCCCCACGTTCTCATCCTTGTCCTTCCTCCCCGTCCTCCGCGGTGACGCCACAGGGGAAGAAGGCCGAGGAGCCGAAGCCGGCGAGGCCGGCAGAGGCTGCGGAGGCGAAGCCCGAGAAGCCTCAGGAGAAGAAGGCCGAGGAGGGCAGGAGGAGGAGGAGGAGGTTTTTCGTCCCCAGTCCCCGAGTTCTTCCCTCGTGGTCAGGCCGCTCAGAACAGGGGGCACACTCGGGGATGCACTTTGGACCCCCCCCGCTCATGCGTCCCCTCGTCGCCCTCCTCGTATACCTCCCCCTCGCCCAAGCCTCCTGCCCCCTTCCCCTCCCTCATCCCTCTCCGTTTCCGCACTCTCCCTCTCCCTTCCTCCTCGGGCGCCACTCTGTCCTCCCTCGCCCCCCCCCCCCCACACACACTCCTGGGTACTCATCCACGGATGCTTGTGGGGGAGGGGGGGGGGGGAGTGCGCGCACGGCGGCTGCTCTGGCTCTGCGGCTCGCCGAGGCCCGTGCGCTCCGCTCCAGGCTCTGGTCGACCCCCCCCCCCTCTGCCGGGGGACGGGGGGCGCTCTGGGCCGACCCCCGCTCTCGGGGGCCCGGACCCTGGTCGACCCCCTGCCCCGAACGTCGGGCCGAACAAAAGGGGGGGGAGGGGGAAAGGATGGATGACGAAATCTGCTGCACGCAGCCGGTTTCGGCCCCGCCGCCAGGCCCGTGCCTCGATGCATCCTGCGCCTCCCGGCGCAGGGAGGCGCTGGCGCAATCGGCTACGTGAGCTGTGATCCTCTGCCCCTACCCTTTGCTACCCCCCCTCCCCAATTCGTTCCCCCCGAGAAAGCCCGACATGGGCGCCTTGCTCGATAGGCTCTCCGCGCCCGCGCGACTCCGCCTTTCGCGGCAGGCCTCGCCCCGTCCCGGCTCCCCCCTGCCGAGAGGCGGCGCCTGCCGACGGCGCGCGTGCCGATGGGTCGTGCCTGCCGCTCGGGACACTGCGCCTTCCGATGTCGCGCGCTCCCAGGTCGCGGGCGATGTTTCTCCCCCAATCCCCGAGTTTCGCCCGAAAAGTCTGGCCGCTCAGAAGAATGGGAAAACCCTGGGATACACCCCAAGGGGGCTATTCGGACGCACCCTATCGAGAATGGACACCCCCCCATCGTATATCCCAGGGTTAGGCCCCAAATTTCTGGTCCATTCGGAAACCCCACGAAGCCTGGGATAGGGGTCGACATATCCCCTGTTACCAGGCGTGGTCCAGCAGCATTCCAGGAGCATCCTGGGGCATTCTGGGAGCATTCCGAAGGCGCAGCTTGAAGGGAGGATCGGACAGGACAGTGCGCGAGGCAGTAGGCGCTATGTGGGAGGGAGGATGGTGATGATGAGGATGAGGACGAATAGGTGCATAGGAGGAGGACTCTCTGACTCTGACTCTGACTCTCTGAGGCTCATGGTCAGCCTACCCCAAAGACATACTGGCAATCAAGCACTATGCAAGAGAGACACAATACATCAACACAAAAAAGGAGGGTCCCCTATCCCTCTGCGCCACATAAGCTTGCCGAAGAGAAGAGGCCTCCTGCGGGAAGCGAGCGCCGCACAGCACGTCGAAATCGTGCTTGCTCTCGTCGGGCTTGGATCTGCCGTCTGAGCTCGGCACTGAGCTCTACACGGGCGGGGGGGGGGGGAGGAGGAGGAGGAGGAGGGGGTTGGGGATCCCACGGGACACCAGCCGCCTCACGGGACTGGAGCATGCCTTCCTCCGCCCACGGATCCTCATCCTCGACAGGCCAGGGTTCGGGCTCCCAGGGAGCCTGCAGAGGTCTGGCCTGTGGGGGAGGGGCATTACCCTCCAGGGGGCGGTCGAAACGGGTGTCTCGGGGCCCCTTTGTACTGAAACCTGCAAAATCAAGAGCAATCTCAGACTGACCTTCCGCGGTGTCTGCAGCATATAAATCCAGAGCCTGAAAAAAGACACTCAGCTCGTCAGGTAGTTCACTTGAATCAAGATCATCTGGGTCACATAAATTGAAAGCCTCTTCCACATATTGGGCAACAGCCCTGGCCATAGCAGCACATAGGTCCTGAGGGTACCTTTTTTTGGGAGCCGTACGCCATTTTCCTGTGTTCGGGTCAATGCCGAGGAGGGTGGTGTGGGTCTTCTTCGGGTGTGGGCACCTTCCCCCTTTACCTTGTCTCAAAATGTCTTCCACGAGGGAACTCAAACGAATACACAGAAACGTCGTCGGGGCCTTGCTAGCTTGGCCGAAAACACACTGGTCGAATGAGACCGTACGAGAGGGGGGAGCAGCGCTCAGAGCACACGACGTGGCAGACTGCCACGAGCTGGGTGCCCTTTCCTCCCAGTAAGCTACCTCAGGGTGCTCTTTAAGTGCACACGCTCCTACCTCCAGGCAGGTCAGCATCAACTGGTGCTGGCTGAGCAGGAGCTGAGAGCCGATGGAAAGCTGTTGGTGTTGACGGAGACTAACATCTGGCCTTCCCCAACGATGTTTGAGAGTACGGAGGGGAGCAGGTGGACGATAACGGTCAGCAACTCTGAGCTCCTGCCATCTCGCTGCTGACCACGTCTCGCAGGGAGGACCGCCAATCAAGCCTATAGCACGACCTGTTCTCAAAAGCTTATCCCATTTTGCAACAATGTCGGCCCTGGTCAAATCCCCGTTCACGGCGTCACAGGCCACATCACACGAAATAATAATAATAGTCACTGGACCCGAAACCAAAACTCTCTCAAGCTCATCCTGAACATTTCCAGCACGTCTAGCTCCTGAGAACAGGTGCAGAAAAGCAAGTACAGCATATTGCAGCGGCCGAGGACAATGCTCGGCAGACGGGCCAGTATACGCAAGAGGTTCAAACTGATGTTCATCTTCAGGGAGGGCCTCCTATCGGGGGTCTACCTCACGAGTCTCAAAGAGGGGCTCAGGAACATCTTGGAACTGGTAATCCATGGAGCGGATAACTTCCCAGGCGTCCCGATACGGTAAAAACGAAAGCTGCGGAACATTACGAGGCCCTGGAACACGATAAGCAGGAAGCCAGGCCCCCCTTCTCATAGCCCCTCTTTTCCGAGCAGCCCTTCTGTCACAGGCCTCCTGGGCCCGAACCATCTCCAGAACCTCAGGAGCCTCCGGGGCCATATTGGAGAGGGCCGTGATGTAGCAATTCGGGTTCCCATACGCAAGGTGGTCAATACATAGCTCGACCGTGCTGAACCGAACAAAACATACTGAACAAGTAGGGCTGTGAACGTATCTGGCAGCGACCGAGCGCTGCTGGTAATGAAGCCGAGCAATGTGCATCTTCACCGCTGCACACTTGGCCGACTCGAACTCACAGAAAGGGCAGCGATGCACAACGGGCACAGGTGCCGGCGTCAGAGATAAATCTGGTGGCACACCAATACGCGCAGCATGCTGAAAAATATCTGCGTGCGAGCTCTAGCGTCTTCAATACGACCAGCCCAACGGATGTGTGCCTCCACCCCAGAGCGAACCAAGTTGGCCCAGTGCTGACCACGCCCAAGAATCTCCTTCTCCCAAGCTCCGAACTCCGAGAATGGACTGGGAAATTCACGCAGCCTTGAAACACGAGTGCGAAGCCACCTCAAATCATCCAAGACAAGGTTGAACCAGGAGTGCTTGGGGTCCGCAGTGGCCCTTATAAGCCCAAAGAGAGCCCTAGGAGCATACTTATATAGTCGACTGAGATAACGGAGACGATGCCATCTAAGCAGAATATCCACATCACATCTCATTACAGTAGCAAGCACGCTCGTATCGGGAACAGCCTCCTGATCATAAGCTGGCCTCCCAATAGCAGACCGATAAATCCGCACGATACCAGCTCGGTACCTATTGAACTGTGCCGTCGTCGGCTGTGGCCATGTTGCAGCATTGTACAGCCGGCCAGACATGATCAGCACATCTGCAAGCTGTAGCTTGTGCTGACGAGACAGCTGCTGGTTGCGAAATACCACCTGCCGTAGGGCCTGGAGCGACGACGTCGTAGACGACACGCGGTAGGCCAGCTCCGGGGCCAGGTCCTGCTTGTCCGAAATCATCCCTCCCAGATGCTTGTACACATGAACAGCTTCCAGAGTAAGCCCCTTGGGAAACGTTCCGGTAGGCGGGATAGAAACCTTACCCTCCTCCTCAATCCAGAACTGCTTTCGGGCCGTTACAGACCCAGGGCCTCTGAAGGTGACCATGAGGGCGCTCTTAGTGGGTCCCGCGTTCAGCTTGAGGCCCAGAGGGGTGAAGGAGTCTGCAACAATAGCCATAAGGGCCCTTGTGCGAGCAATAATAGTACATGCAGGCCCCCACGCATTGAACAGGCTGTCGTCGCTGTACTCTACATCGTTAGCTGTAACCTGGGCATCGCATTGAGCGAGGGGGTCAAGAGTCCTGGTAGACGGCACGTTAAACTCCTTGTGTAGCCCTTCACTCTGGATCAGCTCCTGGGTGCGACGAATACTCTTGGACACGATGAAGAGGAATAGTTGGGCAGCAAGGGTATTGCCTGGCCTGGTGCCCGTGGTCATGATCGCGACAGAGCCTGACCCTTGGGTAGTAGCCCAGGTACCCGTGAGCGTCTCAGATATAACACGCTGCAAATGGGCAGGAACCTCCAGCTCCTCAAATAATGGCGGCCGTGCAAGTTCGGCGGCCAGGAGATCCATGGAAGAGGGCGGGAGACCAGAGGCATGCAGCAGCTGAGCAATACGCTCATCAGATATCGTATCCTCCCCCTCGAATCGAATGAGAATTTCACGAATAGCATGATGAAAAGCGGCCTCCAGGTCCACAAAAAGCGTCGACATCGACTCCGATCGTATACGCGAGTCCTCCTGCATCAATCGAACCATGTGCACGGCAAAGTCCGTGCCACGTCCTCTGATACCTCCACACTGTGACTCAGGGGCAAAATCATCTAGAAAAGGCTGAAGACGTCCAGCAACAAGGGCATGAGCACGCTTGCCTACCTGCGGACCGATGGCCACAGACCTGCTGGAAACACACTTGTTGGGCGCACCTCGACCCTTGTACAAGTCAGCTAACCTCGAGCTTTTCCATTGTAGTGGTTCATGTAGGCATAACATATACTTCATCACAAGGGGGAAGTAGA